ACCATTTCTTTCCACCCCTAAAGCCCCCATGCCAATCGGAACCCAGAGCCATAGTCTATGTATACTGCATACCAAGAGATTTCGTCAGGCGGGTGTACACAAGATACATACGATGGGTGACTTACTAGCTCCCCGTCAATCATCCTATGCATTGGCCATGATATTCTCCAACTCATTACTTTCACCTCACCCGAGATTGCAGATGTCGAGGAAAGCCAAGTCTCAAGAGAGGGAGCATTTTTGATCTGGAATGTACCTGGACCGATGATTAAGGAGCAAGGCTGCCGGGTGAATATCACTCATCACTACTGTCGTCACGGATGAAACTCACTACTCACCTTTTCACGTCAACAAATCCCACCACGGCTCTTCACTCTCACCTCTCACAAGGCATCGGGAAACACATGAAACCCCGGCAACTGCCCCTGAGCCTTCACAAACACTATTTCCTGATGTCCGCTCAGCCCCTAACGACTTGCCGCCCGATGCGACTGTGGTCGACGAGGGGGAGATACCTTCACCCACATTAGCGATGCCCATACACACCATATTTGTACTCACATGAATGCTTTGTGTCGTCGCCCACACTCGCTTCGCCCAAAACCCTGCCCTAGTCCTACAGCAAGAGAGCGTGCCGTGTATTGTCAGAGGATTATCAGACGGCCACTGGGGGATCAGAGGATCATCATGATGTCCACGGATGCACGGGGGAGGTACTTGTACTCACAGAGTCAATGTGCAACCCATTCCACCTACCACGCCCATCTTCACCAATCAGAATTCCCAACACACACATCTGTCGTGTCTGAACTTACACCACCGCCGTTTAGCTTCCCATGACACGATCAACGCTCAGCGCTCAGCTCCTGTACTCACTCCACCACCCGAGCTAAGACACCAGACGTCCCCTTCTAGAGTATCACGCGGCACGGACCCAAGCTCACCTGTTCACGGCTTCCATCTACCCCGTCGCCCCAGTCCCGTCCATTTGCGACACCAACCGATGCCGCCGTTGGCTCCTCGACCTCCATCACTATCACCTGGAACATCATTTGCCAAAAACGACACAACTAGCGGCTGCTTATCGTTCGCCGCTACTTCCCCACCTAATGCCGTGAATGTCCTCGATGTGGGATGGCTCACTACAACGAGCACATTGCGCTGTGCGGTCAACTGTGCATCGAAGTCCGCAGTAGGCAACCGTTGTGGAAGAGAGAAGTTACAACTTCGTATTGACGTAAATGGTCTCGGAGATACCTCGGACCTATCACGCGCACACTGTTCAAAGTTCAAACGTTCACCGCCACCGTATTCTACCCGCCGGCGACTCACTCCAGTGTCCATGCCAAATTCCAATACCTCCCAACTCCACGCCAATGCTCAGCGAAGGACGCTACATTCATATCCTCCAAAGATGTCACTTCTTTTATAACATCCCTTCCATACGTACTTTTCAGTTCCAACGTTAACGCCTCAGTCACCTCTTCGACAATGGAACCAAGGACCCGTTCTACCACCACGGGGGAGGTAGTCTTGGTGGTGGGACGAACGGAGGATAACACCTCGTATAGAACATTTCAAATACGAAATTGGGGGGAGCTCATTTGCGTCTTGAAGGATCTGGGGGAGATCAACACTTTTCTCAATGTCAGGGTGAACGTGGCAGAGATCAGTGGTCACCCTCGCTTGCACAAATGCCATTTTATCACTTTTCCAAACCCTCCTACACCTTCCACTTCCCTCCTACACATTCCACTTCCCGACTTTGCACAAACCTCCTCAACATCCCAACTCATAATCCGCCAAACCGCAGCAGCAGGCAGCATAACAATAGCCCATCCTCCTCAACCGACCACCTCATTCTAGAAAATCGCCGTTTCAAACCTCACAACTTTTGCGCGCCAACACACCTCACCATCTCTGCCATATGTAATAACGGGAACACGTATCCTGTGGGATTGACGGATAGGATTATACTCGGAACGGCGACTCCAAGTGTGGTGTGGTGTGGGACGTGTATTCATACCAGCAGGCGCACACCAATAGCTTGCGCAGGCGACGTACATGTTGAATACCGGGGCCCGTAGGCACCGAGCCGTGGGGGTATCCTGCCGAATGTACAGGCCTTTTGATGGTATCGTCCCATCTGGCGCTCGAAATTCCTGCATCCCATCGTTTCTATTACCCAAGGACTCTCATCTCGCGACATTTTCGTTTCCTCCATCGGCACTATGATTCCCTACTCACTTTATCCCAACACGGCCACTTGTATGGTCCACCCCCGACATCACATAATCCTCCACCCTACGACCTTGATCTTCCTCTCCTCCGCTAACCCAATCACGTTACATATGAAGTACAGAAAATCAACGACACCATATTCTCTTTGATCCCTTTAACCCATTAAATCACTGGTCTCTGCAGCAGTCATCGCAAACCCCTCTATCCGACTTCCGTCGTTGACAGTGCATTCCAACGCAGGCCCGAGGGCTTAGACTTTCATCACCCACCTAACTCGGTTTTCATCACCAGCCCCACTCTACGTTCAATGCAAAGTTCAGTTATCACCAGAATCAGAGAGATCAGTTCAACGTGTCGTCAGTGCATCTAAAAATCACTCTCGTCAATCAACGTATTACCCCGGAACATCATCCTCTCCCTGCCGCTATATACTGCCGCCCACTCATCAAAACGTTGCCGACGCACTCAAGCTGGAGTCCTTCAGGTCTCTCGTTGTCTGGGGGAGTGTTAGAGGAGACGTCTCGTGACCTTCATTGTATACGTGTATGTTTTTATTATTTCTTTCCAGTCCTTTTATTTCCCTTTTCTCTCATTCACATTTACCTCCGTTATTTACTAGTCTTTACCTCAAGCCACAAATCCTTCCCTTTATATACGAAACCTTATTTCTGTCTCACCTCAGTCGTTCCTCACTTTACGGTGACTGACGTCTGAGGTGAGTACTTTCTACGATACATTATCGTTATCTACATTATTGACTTCCTGTAGTTTTATTTGCTTCTACAGGTAGTCTATCTAATCTCAGTCGTTCCTCACTTTACGGTGACTGACGTCTGAGTTTTATTTGCTTCTACAATACAGAAATGGATACATGATAAATCCAACACCTGTGTCCATACAGGACCCCCGAAAATCCTGCTAAATGGTAGATACCGATCCGGACAGAAATTTTCAAAATGAGGTGCTAGGTTAGATACAAACCGGACAGGTTTTCGAAAAAATCAGCAAAATGCTAGATACGAAATCTGGACAGGTTTGCGAGGAGATTGACAGGCTGGATACTAACCGGACAAGTATGGTCGCTTAGTCTAACGGAAAAAATGTATGTACTTCACTACGCTCGTCGTGTGGTCTGGGGTTCGAATCTTGCACTGCACACAAAATTTGGCCCTGAGTTGGCTAGATACGAAGTTTGGACAAATTTTTGAAAATTTGTCTAGGCTAGATAAAATCCGGACATACTTCGCCAAAATTGGTACGGACAAGAATCTGGAAATCGGCAATTTTAGTATCTACCCTTTAGCAGGATTTTCGGGGGTCCTGTCCATACCAACCGATAATTACTTGACCCTCACTTGAAATAGATTATTTGAAGTACAAACGAGGTATTTGCACTACGAAGTACTGTAATAGTAAGGACAGTCAAAGGTCTGAGTACAGGTCAAGTAAATATAATAAGTACAGTTGTGCAAAGAGGTCGATGCAAGGGCAAATGCATGAGTAGAGCAAGTAAGATAATGGAAAAAAAAGGCCAGGCATAATGGGAATGCTCGGACATATGTAGAATTGAATTCCAGCATAACCATCACTTTTCCTCCATTGTATGTTCGCTATGCCAGACCACAACGCTCGGTGACGCCTTCGCCAACTCCGAATCGTCAATATGGACATCCGTCTCTATCTCTTTGCGAACGAAAAGTTGGATGTTATCGGTCGTCAATGTTATATGCTATCAGGTCAAGTCTTCATTTTTCATCCTCCATGAAAAAAAGGGGAAGCCTACGGTAGACTCTCCAGGAAGACCAATCATCCCACGTAGCTCTTCTCGACAAAGCAGTGTGTGCATGAGCGTCTGAACGGAGTCGCGTCAGCGTAAATGGCGGGTTTCAAATCTACAACACTTACATTGCTGTACAAGCGGCTGATTGGTACACCGAATAAGCTGTAGAACTCGGTGTCCCTATCGGCAAGGTATAAAACCAACGTCAGAACAGACACAACACTGGTCAAGAGTCCTAATACGATGTAAGGTCAGGTTAGTGCCTTTGGCGCAGGGGATTAGAAGACACCTGTCTGTACCGTCGTCTGCATAAGACGGTTTATTATACTATCAGATCTCTGAAATCCCGTTCGTGATTGGGAAAGTGAATGCAATAAGATACCTGCGGAATAGGAGTGATCAAACACGTCAAGCGATTCAAACGCAAACGCGAACCAGTAATCAGGACGTTCACGCCGACCTCCAGACAAAGCCACACAGATATCAGAGAGCTCATTCCCCCTGTTTCCATCATGCTAGTCATTATGAAATCAGCGCCGAAGACAAGACTCAGTCGTTGTGAAACGATGGCATACGTTTTGACATTGCAGACCTTGACGCCGAAGATAATGCCAAAAATAAAAGCGGCAGCAGCCAGAACCAACACGGTAGCGTATAACGCAACGCTCTTTTTAAGCCTGAGGATCCTGGGGAAAAACGAATGAGCAAAGGGAATTACAGATGATGAAGCGGCAACTCACCGATATGCCAAAAACACCTGCGTTATGCAAGCCGTGACCGTAGCTACAAATACCCATGCTGGGTAAGGCCAAACAGGTCCTGACATACAGAAAGGATCAACCTCGACCGCGGACAAGTTCGGTAGAAACGTACTGGCCAAAGCTAAGGGATTGACAAAGTCATCTACACTGGTGAGTGATGTTAGGCATTTGTTATGGCGAGGCATTGATGATGGATACGCACGCATAGACCCAAGCGAGGTAGATTAATCTAAACAAGATTATTACTTGACGTTTGTCGTAGATAGTAATACTCCGCTCAACTCACGAACTGCTGTGGAAGGTGTCGAGGCAGAGTAACGAAAAAACGGTGAGTCTGCCGGCCATATTTATGGTATCAGTGAAGGCGATCGCATCGTCAAACCGGACACTGACCGAATCCATAACGCGTCGTTGAATGCTATTCGTCGAGCGGTCAGGACCTGATCGAGGGGAAACGGTAGCTGGTGACTCACCAGTATTGTAATACGATGCATATTGAAATGTCAGTAGGCCATAGAGATAGGTGTTAACTTGCGGACCCAAAGAAAAGTCAGCCCAGATCACGGCTCCTCAGCGTCAGGAAAATTTCCTCACAAAAGATGCCCAGCAAAAGAGGGCCTATCCATAGTCAGTAAACTGCAATATGAGAAGGGAGCATGAATCTCACCAAGAGTTACCTCAAAAATATGCATCGGAGAGGTGAGGGGAATGAGTAAGTAACTGAAGCGAGAAGAGGGTGTGGGCGGTGGCCAACTTCAGGATTGTCCACGAGGGTCGACCTCAGCGCCATCCCTTACTTGGTAGATGAAGCAACCGAACATGAAGGGATTGTGTTAGATAAGGGGGTGCGCAATTGAATAGGAAATGAGTTGGGACTCCGACGGTTGTCAGGCCAACGTTGCTATGGAAGTATCTTTTGGTTGTGAAGCCTCTTTACTCTGCACATCCCCTCAGGTGTTTATGAAGACTCGGAAAAATCATATTGTCCGCCCTCTTCCCTCTTGCTGTTTAAATTCGATCGAAGCCGCGGACCTCTCTGCGGAGATTTGGATAGACTGCTGTAGAGGTGTGATTCACAGTATCTCGCTTTGGTTTGAATCAATTGAAAGCGCGAAACATCAGATTCCAGACATTGATGTCGCCGTGTCCCAATCCATTCTTCCACAGTTGATAGTGAGCTAAAGACTACGTGAACTAAGATACGACTTCACATGTAGTATCGAAGTCTGTCTAGGAGAGACTAGCTAAAGACAGGTGTTGACTTCATCATTCCTCTCCAAGTGCCCTTTTACACTTCCGTTGATGGCCTTGGACCTCTTGTATAATCGCTTCGATGTTCCCCGCTGTTATTGCAATGACAGAATTGAGTCATTCATCTGGGTTTTTGCTTGGGTGACCGTTGGGTCCGCATCTACCACAGTAAATGGTCAAGGCGATTACGTTCCTGGGCAACAGGTACTTAGCTCCTCAGATGTTCAAAATCGCAAACTCTTGCTTCTTTAGGTTATACAAAGTAACGCCCAACCCGTCCTACAGAACCAAATGGCCCATTGCCCAGCACTCGCTTCAGTGGTTACGCGAGCGAGAAGTCGCCTGCTTAGTGCGTCGACGGGGCCGGCGGTCCGCTGCGAAAGAGTTGAATGACGAAGAGATCAAGAAGAGATATATTATGAATCCATTCCTACGGCCTTTGTTAACGGGTCTGACCCTTTGAATAATTTATGGGTCAGATGAATTCCTTGAATTTTTTTACAATTTATTTCAGGTGTACGAGTATCTACGTACCACGCTTGCAGCTTAAATAAACAAGGCGTTGCGTTCTATGCATTATAATTATTTGTTCGAGGTTTGCGCGTATGTCCGAAATGGAGTACATATGAAAAAGAAATCTAGTTCTCATTCTTTACGAGCTAAAGAAAAATATTACGTCTTTAATAGAGTATCAGGAGACAGAACGACAACTTCATGGGCCCTCAGCCTGATCTGGACCTCGCTGAGTGGGTGTATCGATACATGTCATCGGTGAAAGATTGGTCATAATAGGCAAGCGTTGAGAGCTAGAGCTGCTACACCAGCCAGAATATCCACTCGTGATGAGGAAGCCCCGTTATGAGAGAGGGGGATTGTGGTCGTGGTTGAAGCGTCTACCGTATTTTGTGGCGCAGTGGGAGAGGGGGGTGCACCAGCATCGTTGGATTTTATGGTAGTAGGTGGCTGACTACCACTAGTAGTCGGACCAGCAGCTTGACTACTAGTAGATGACTGTGCTGAGGCCGCGGTAGCCACCGCGACTGTGCTAGAAGGCAATCCTGGTATGGTGAGTGTTACGCCCTGGTCATAACAATTCGTCACGTCCGGGTCAGGTTGTTGAGAAAGTTTGTAGAGGACGTACGACGGCGAGACAAGTGGCTTGGGAGATCCTGTAGGTGGTCGTGAGATCTGCCCCGCTGCAGTGTTGCAGAATGCAAGTACTGGTGCTTGTGAGATATTCCTGGTTGTTGCATAGACACACGTAGTTCGTCGCTGCGCAACCACCCAAATTTGGGTTAACAAAGCAAGGGTAGGAGCACGCTGGTTGTAGATGTAGGTCAGATGTATGGTGGATTGTTTGAGGACGAGCGCCTACTTGGGAGAGCTGGCACGGTCTGGCGGAGTCCAAGGATGTTGGATGCAACTGATTCGAGTGCGGAGCTGAGGGATGTTGCCAAAAGAATGAGAGGGAAGCGCATCGCACTTGGCGTCCGGTGTCCGAGAAGGAAAAGAGTGGGGGAAAGAGTGGTCAATGGTGAACCATCTTACATATAAATTTGAATGCCCAAGTAACCCTGTGCGTTATTTATAGTCCTTTCCAGATTCTCCCACCATCTGTCTGTGCCTCATTTTTCATTCTTCCCAATTTCTCCCACCAGTCACCGACTACGCCCCTTTTGAGCATAAAGTTATAAAACGGAAGTCAACTGCAACCACCAGGCAATTGTGGGAAAGAGAGACGAACAACTTCGAGTAGAAAGTAGAAAGTGTTCTATTCTTGAAGATATCCAAATTCCGCTCAACTTGCACGCTCGAAAAGGTTGCCATGGAGGTGTATTTGAGATCAATGGCGTTCGCGAGTTCATAGCCACGAGAGATAGCATTGGTAACGGTAGCAGTGACTGGAGTCGATAAGATGGAATGTTGTTGCAGAGACAGTTGTAGTCTAGTGCTGGGCAGGCTGCAGCGACCTAGGTCGCCGTCACATTGGCTGACGAAAGCTAGATGAATGGGTCGACCTTATTTCGTATGAGCTTAGAGAAACAACATACGAGAGACAGCGACGTCCTGACGAGTGAACAAGGGGGCAAATGCCGAGGTCGAGGCGGCGAGGAGCGCATCAGAGACGAGCGCGAAACGCATTACACTTCAAAGGTTCGCAGCTAGAAATTCACGAAAGGGAACAACAAGGTGTGCTGGTGGGAAAGCCTGATCTGCTTTATAGGACTCCGGGGACATCCCCGGCTCAAAGGAACCCCCAAAAGCCAATCCAGGTACGAGCAGGTGAGCGGTGACGGAGGGGGCGCAATGGAGAGGAGTAGCTGCCTTCCTTCCCGCCTTCCTTCAATCTTCCTGGACTCAAAATCGGCGTCTCAGATGCAGTATCGAGCGCTATAGGGTGTCGAGGTGAGCACTAGCTACGTAACGAAGGTCAGCGATCCCGTCGTTACTGTCTGATTATAAGTGCGTCGAGCTCACCGTACGAGGACCAATCTTTCGTCGCAGAACACTTTCTCACGAAGGAGGAACGTCGTAACAACCATCGATTTTGCTCGTTCAAAGAACGTTGGGAGGTGTTGGTGGGTTCTAACGAAAAGGTACATGAGGTTTTGAAGATGTTGTAGCGGTATCAACGACTTACGTGCCAATGCCAGATCATGCCCGCCGATAACCATCCTCCCCTGGATCATTCACGAATGATGGAATCCGTGGAGGGGATATGCTGTGAATCAATGCATGGGTCACCAAAACTTACGTTTATCTCGCCCCCAGGCCCAGCACCCTCCTCGTGAGCCTTCGTTACTGCCCGCATACTCTAAGTTGTGCATCGTCGAGTGAACGATCCCGATATCTACTTCGTCTAGCTTGTTTCGAAGTGACAAGCACAGATTTCGTGCTCAACGAACGAACAAGGTAGAGATGGACGCTGGCTGTCAGAGCTTGAGACAACAGGAGTTTGGCGGGTGCCTACCTATGTAGGTATCGCGTTCATCCCCATCACTCGACTTTCGACCCATCTACGTCGTTGCACCTCAATCCCTATCGCTACCCGTCCGCCCACGAGCACATCCCTCCCCTGGTTCCCCGCTATCGTCCGTCTAGACGACTCTGCTGGCCAGTGGTCACGGACCAGAGGTGTTGTGCCTCTGCACCCACCGGTCCTCGCCATCCCAACACGTTCCATCGTCCTACCGTCTGTAGTAGGTAGATACGTAGCCAGACGGCGTCTATTTACTTTCTGTCAGATGGCAATGTATCAAAGGGCGTAAAAATAAACGACTTGCAGCAAAGGATGATCGATGAGCTCCTCTCCGACTCCGAGCTCGTGAGCTCTGAGCTTCAAAGTCTTGCGTTTACGCGCTCATGGACGTTGTCCAGTTCATCCTGAAACGAGGTCTGAGAAAAGCTGCATGATTTGGTACGTTATTAATGGTGCCGGTGAGTGCTTACCTTGTTGTCGTCTCCTCCTGCGTCTTGTCGCCCATTCACCCACCCACTATCCACCTTCGTTCGTCAGATTGTTTCCGGCATCGACAACACTTCTCCCATCGCCATTCAAATATTCACGCGTCGGCCAAAGACAATAATATGCCCTCGCATCCTAGGGAAGGACTGACAATAACATGGTCGTCAGCACCGTCCGAGTCAACGAACCCAGCAAGGGAAGTCCTCACCTTTGCTGCCGTCCTTCGTCACCCATCCACATCTTTCACGCACGATCCACCTCTCAATTGTGTTCGTTTCTTCCAACGCTGTCTCTGAGAGGTCCGGCATCATATAGTCCTCGCTGTTGCGCTTTCGGACGTTTGGACGTTCCGTTGGTGAGGTATCTAGAGCTTCTTGTGAGATGAGGTGTTTATGGGTAGGGAACGCGCATAGATTGGCGTCCAAAGGCCTGAGCAATGTATGCGGTCGATTACCGTGGTACCAAGTGCGATTACGGGCGTCGTTGATGGTGTACAATAAAGAGACGTCAACACGAACGTTGAAGCCACCATATCGCGAGTAATAAACCCAAAAGCATTTCCGTTCGTCCATGCATGCATGCATGCCTACAGCGTCCAATAAATACACAACACTACACTCTAGAACAACATCCCCCGATCATGCTTCACCACAACAGAACTAGCCCTCGTCGACTTGTTCGGCATCTTCTCCCAAATCGGATCAACGTCCGGTCCTTCAAGATCACCAGCGCCGTCCCAGCCCCAACACCATACTATCAAACGCATATATTTTATTAGATGGAGAACAGGAAAAAGAGGGGAAAGAATACGAACCTTGTTCTGGGCCGGAGTTGAATTGGAGGGCTTCCGCTTCTTCAGGTGAGAACAGACGATCGTGTGGGCCGAACCACGATCTGTCTTGGGGGTCTGTGCGAGGATCGTCAGGGAGCCCTCCGAGGCGCTTGTACCCACGGATGGCGGTCAAGTTCCGTCGTTCCGGGTGGATGATATCAAACACTTTCTGTAGTAAGGATGCATTAAAATCAGTCAAAGCCAAAAAAACATCGGAAACGCACCGAATCATAAGCGAGTTTAACCCTAGGCACCATCATAATCCTCCCATACCCCGCCTCCCAATAATCATTGCAAATCAAACTACACTCACTCGCACTACACTCCCCCTCCGTAATCTTCGCCATCCTAAACCTCACATGCGGCGGCGAATAAAACGGCGCAGGATCAAGCACCGCAATCCCATTCCAACAGCTCTGCACCTGAATAGGTAAATGCCTCTGAAACCGATCCGAACTATCCTGATGGTGGAATATCTTTTCGAATGGCGCGTTCTCGAGCGCAGTGCCGTTGATATCCCTCGCCACCCAGTTATCGTAGAAAACGGGGGACGAAATCTCTTCGTGGTACATGTAATCCGCTGCGCATGTGATCCCGGCGTTGTTGATGCGGCTTTGCCAGATGAGTTCGAGAATGTCGTCGACGCAGGGTAGGATGTCGTTCATGAATATAATCGTATCAAAGTACTCCCCTTCCGAATCCCGTAGTTCATGCAGAGGGACGAAAGCGGAATTGCGGACCTCAGCGAGGTACTCGATACGATGGTTGAAAGCCCCCCTCGTCCTCGACGACGTCCTTATAGTAATCCGCATCCCAACACTCCTCGTCAACGCATCGAATATCCGTAGTAGAGCCTTCGTCTGATCACTAGACCCATTCTCGTAAATCGAGACGAAGACATTATGGTACCCCAGAATCGCAGCCGTCCGAAAGAGAGTGGCAAAGAGGTCGGGAATGACGTCGAAGGAGTTGTAGAGGTTGATAGCAAAGTAATACTTATGTTCGCTGGGCATAACATCCCTCCTATGCACCTTATCCACATCCAACTCGGACCCAAACAATCCCGAAAGCCACGAATCGCGCGAAGGTGGGTTATGCCCTACAAGCGGTGCATAGCGCTCAAGCGCCTGAGCAGTATACAGCGGTTGAGCATGGCGTGTACATTCCTTGGTATAATGCGGTGACAGCGTCGTCAAAAGATCAAGTACACGCTGGCGCTGATCGAGTGTGGGGAGCTGGATGGGCTGTCGACTTTGTTGGTGGGATTTGGCGGGGATGTGGCCGCTTCGCCAGACGGGCGTTGTGGGCGAGGTGAGGGGGACGATGCGGGCGAAGAGGAAGCCGAAGAGGATGCCAATGAAGAGGGCGAGGGGGGTGGGTATGCGCCGGAGCTGGTAGGCGATGGAGGTGGTGTGGAAGGACATGGGTGCACGAGGCTGCACGATGAGGGAGACCTTGGGAGAGACCCAAATTTGTTGTCACTGTTCGCTGTCACGAGTGCCTGATCATCGGTGCCTGATAGACAAAATTTACACTCCTTTTTTGTTGCGACGGCTACTCTTGTGCTTGAAACTCAACTGGTATCCCTCCGTGCGACATAGGTACGTTGTCTGCAGAATTCTGGCCGTATTTCAATCCTACATTACATAACTATAAAAAGCGTCAATCATCCCCTTTGCATATGAATCCCGGTGTGCGATACATTTATGATTTGATCGCGGAATGACAGGCCTATACTTACCCCTCAGATTAATTATCTAAACCATATCGTTCCAAAAAGCCCTCCAAGAAGCAAACCTACGGAAACTACAGAGTAATCAGTGCAGAGCCACGCCAACCAGCCGAATTGGTCTTTCTTTTCCCCTTCCTTATCCCCTGGACCGCCTTGAGAGTCTCGCGATTCATCGTTCAACGCCTCAGGATCTCTTCTCTCCAATTACGACCTCTGCTCCCTCCTTAGTCTTGCCGCTCCTGCCTCTTCCGCCTTGCTCGCTTCAACACCAAATTCTTCCCCTCGACTTGATTGCATCTTTTCCCCCTTCCGCGTTCACAGCGAGTTCCTCGTTTTGTCCTTCTGGTTCCGTGCTTCCAATTACTTCCTGCAGAGCCATGCCAACCACTGGCAGTCGCAGGGTGACCGGATGGTAGCAACGCCTGGTGGGCATCGGTCTACAGTCTCTGCTCACCCAACTTGAAACTATCCCATGGTAATGACTCTACAAGGCCATACGGTTCAGTTTTGGCGTTATCTGACCGTCCTTGGGTTATGCATTCGCAATCCTCCGCCCCCACCCCCACATGTCACACAGCGTCCCTGCCGACCTTCCACCAACCTTATCAGGGCAAAGAGAGCCGAACATTTCTTTTTCTATTTCGTTTTGGTACTTCCAACTCGGCTTTGAGAAAACACGAAACTAGATTTCAGAGCAACCACAACCCCAAGATACATGGGCGAAACACTGAATGCTATCACGCGCAACTGCACAGGGCTTCCCTATTTAATTAGTGTCCTATTTCGTTTTTCTGAAAAGCCGACGTCCCAGGAGCTTTACTTTCAACAGAACAGAATGATGCGGCTCCTCTGATTTGCAGCTACATTCTTCCCTATCCAACACTCTATTCGATTTTCTGGACCCAGGAGATGGGGCGTTCTGCAAAGCAACAAAAATAAAGGTCAGATATCAAGTAGACGCAAGACTAAAAACTCTGATGATACCTTGAAGCCAGGCATCCTCCGCAAGTCGTCCAAGTTGATTGCCGGTAAAGATTCAATTGACAATGTTTTTATCGTCGGGCGGTCAGCTGCAAGCTGAGTGGCAAACTCAATGGCTACATCATGCCTCTCTTGGTCTGACAATCCTTCTCTTGCATCTAATAGACGGAAGCAAAAAGAAACATGTTCCAGATGGGGGAAGAGGTAAAGCCACCTCTTCGCTATGAGCGGCGAGAATTCGCAGGGCTGAACAGGTTTGTCCAGAACGACGGTCCTGATATGAGCGAGGGAGGTAATGATTCGAGTATATTTATCTTCACGGATATGTCTTTGTAATGTCAAGCAGATATGGCTCACTGGAACACTGGAGAACTCCAGAGATGAGATATGGGTGTGAGGGGCAACAGCTACCAGGGCGTCCAACTCGGATTCATGATTCTCATTAAGTAAGACATGGACGGAGGAAAGAAGGGGCACATTGTTCCAATGTTGGAGCAGCAAGGTCACCATCAGTGGCATTGCAGTTAACTGTGCCAAGTATGGGAGTATAATTGGGGGATCAGGGATTTGAGGATCCATGGATGGGAGTATTCCGTCGAGGCGTAGACTGTTGATTGACGGATGGCGATTTAGAAAGCTGCACAGATCCACCCTAGAAATAAGGAAGCGAGAGTAGATCTTGACCTCTTTTACCGACGGTAAATTCATAGATCTATAGATGTGCGATAGTAGGTAGACTGGGTGTATGGAAGTGACATTGAGGTGAACGCAGACGAGCGACTCTCGGTGAACCTCCAGCATATCTATGATCCATCCAACAAAAAACGGTTGGAAGAGCCGCTGAGAATGAATTTGTAGTGTCGACATCCCAATTGTATGGGGATGTGCACGGAACCATCCAAAATTTCTTGTCCGCCTAGACTTAGTGCCTTGGGATTTCGGGCAGTGGGGAGGTGTCCCAACATACTATGATTTTTTTGGTAATGACCCCCAAAAGCATTGTGATGAGCTGGAACATGGACGTGCAGCTTCTCAAAAATGGTGCCCACATTTCCCACAAATTAGATAGTTCGGATCATTTGCAGCTACATTCTTTCCTATGTAACGCTCTATTTGATTTTCTAGACCCGGCCGCTGGGGTGTTCTGCAGAGTAATGAGAATGAGGGTCAGATGTCACGTAGATGCCATACCAAAACTTGCCTTGAAGCCAGGCATCCTCCTCAAGTCGTCCAAATTGACTGCCGGTAAGGATTCAACTGATAATGTTTTCATCGTCGGGCGGTCAGCTGCAAATTGAGTGGCAAACTCAATGACTACACCATGCCTCTCCTCATCTGACAATTTTACCCTGTCATCTAATAGACGGAAGCTCAAAGTTACATGTTCCAGATGGGGGAAGAGGTAAAGCCACCTCTTTACTGTGAGCGGCGAGGATTTGCCAGGATGAACAGGATCAGGTTTGTTCAAAACGACACTCCTGATATGAGCGAGGGAGGTAATTATTCGAGTAGATTTATCTTCGCGGATATAGCTCTCAAAGGCCAAGGAGAAATCGTTCACCAGAACAGTGGAGAACTGCAGAGACGAGATATGGTTGTGTGTGGCAACAGCTACCAGGAGGTCCAACTCGGATTCATGATTCCCATTAAGTAAGACATGGACGGAGGAAAGAAGGGGCACCATGTTCCGATGTTGGAGAAGTGAGGTCAGCATCGGTGGCAACGCGGTTAACTGTGTCAAGTATGGGAGTATAATTGGGGGATCAGGGATTTGAGGATCCTTGAATGGGAGGATTCCGTCGAGGTGTAGACTGTTGATTGACGGATGGCGATTTAGAAAGCTGCACATATCCACCCCGGAAATATGGAAGCGAGAGGAGATCTCGACCTCTTTTACCGCCGGTAAATTCATAGAGTCAAGGATGCTTGGTAGGATGCCCGTCTGGTATATGGAAGCGACATTGAGTTGAATGCAGACGAGGGAATCTTGATTCACCTCCAGCATATGAATGATCCATCCCATAAAAAACGGCTGGAAGAGACTTGACGAAAGAAGCTTTATCGTCGACATCCCAGTTGAATGGGGGTGCGTGGCATTGCGGAGTCTTCCCGATTTTCTCGTCCCCCTAGACTTGGCGCCTGTAGATTTCGCGATCGCGGAAAGAGGTGTCGCGACATACAAATTGTCACAAAAATCATAGCTGGGCGGATAACCTCTCGGATTAAGCAACCCCAGATCTCTGCACCCACTGTTGGCGATTGATTCTAAAAGCTTCAGAAACGCCTTTCCCCACCTCTCCCTGTCTAGGTTCCAAATATAATCCGGAAGGCCTAGATGGATTGTGCCAACCGGTGGAATGCGCGCCAGTAAACCACGTAGACTGAGAATGTCTGACATCACTTGCTCAATCCCCCCAGTGAAGTAAAATGTAAATGTTGAGAGATGGCGAACGAAGAGGGCCATTCTTAAGGCCTCTAGCAAGTTTGGTCCGGGATCATGACAACGAAAGAACCCGTTTTGCAGATCTTCCAAATCGCTGCGGGAGAAGAACGTAGGAAGGACCAGGAAGTGAAGCCTCTTGCATGTGAGGCTCAGCCGAAAAATGGATCCGTCATCATCCACGTCTTCAACGATTTTTTCGACAAGTTCGTTCGGCAGGTCAGTGATGGTAGCGTAAGCAGAAGACGTTTGTCCGACAGGCCCAACCTTGCGCCGCCGCTGTCTCTTCATTGTGGTTGTGGTGGTATGTTTCACAAAGACTCAGGAGTTGGAACAACGTTGTTTAAGTGCGATTGCGTCATGTCACCCAATTGGCAAACGCCCCCTAAAAAAGTGACGGTCGATCTCGGCCGCCAAGACCGTCAACACGCAAATCTACTGGCCTGATGTAGTCGGATGAGGTTTGAAAGTGTTGTGCTTGACCGGAAGATCGTCCATAAGTAAGTCAGGAGCAAGTGGTGAACGGATCGCGAAGTAAAGGCAGCTTTGAGGCAGCTAGTTGTCAATGTCAATACCCGAGTACGGCCACTGGATAGAAAAAATAGTGATAGTTGCAAGGACGACAAGGTGGCGTACATTATTCAGATAAATACCATCGCCGACCCAAGCTTGACCTGATATAGCTCGTTATAACTTAAATAAGACTTGAGAGGAGTCACAACGCACCACCGAAATCCATGTCAATTTCGTGATGAGAATGGCCCCAGTCGACATCCCGATCTCCTATAAATTGCGTGGTACTATTTTCGGGGTGGCAGATGACGAAGTGCTCTTGAACCATTTCAACATGAAATAACTACGCGTCTGAAATACGAAGAAAGGCAAGTCAGGACATGTGTAGCTTCCATCGTAAAGAAAATAAGCGCACTTCGTCATCTGCGGCAGCGGCTTCCCTAATACTGTCCAAAAATGACGTCCACGATGGCTAGTGCCGCTTGCAACTGTCGTTTCTCTTACATTGCTTTTGTGATTCTCCGGTGTCGTCGTAGTAGCGCTTGACGAGGTCATTGGGGCACCCAACGCTTTTTCAGCATGCCAACATTTATCCACTCAGCGGGCCTGGGATGGGCATTCAACGCGCTTTGCCAGGTGATGTGCTTATGGCGAAAAGGCCGACGAGTGAAAGAGGGAAGGAAGAATCGGGAAGGGAGAACACAGATCGTCACCAGACCCATCGAGCTTGGACCTACACAGCTGGTGAGAAATTGGAGATGCGGCAGAAAGGCTATCATCACAGCCATTGGAATCTTTGGCACGATGAGTGATCGAGAACGCTGATGGCGGCCATATTCCGACACACGATCTGAAATACCTGAGCCTTGCTTGAGGCTTTGAGACCCCATGGTTGTTTCGGCGAATTCGTATTTGACGATCAAAGTCGGGACGAAAAGGCATAACGAAAGCGCAGTTCAAGTTCGTCTGCGGCAGCGGTTTCCTTGAGAGCGTCCATAATCTAGAGAATGACGTCCCCGGCGTTGAGTGACTCATGAGAATGGAAGTAAGAGGCAGAGGGCGGGTTTGGGAAATGGAGAGTGGCAGGGGCAGAAAAAGAGAGGGAGCAGAACTGTAGATGATGGGACGGGACGGGCAGGAGGGAAGGGGTGGGAGAACCATGAGAGAGAGAAGAAGAAGAAAGGGTAGGCGGAAAGAAGGCTGAGGGAGGGATGGAGGGGGAAAGAAAGTCGGTATTCAAGGGGACGGTAATGTAGCGAATACCAAGGGAACGAAGACCGGAGGAACCTCGTAGCGGCTAAGAGATCTACATGAAGAAGTGTCAGTGTCAGTGTCACCGTCATCGAACGAAGATATCCACCGACCGAATGATGTACGACGGATCTTTTGCGTGTGAGATGAGCGGTCCTAAGTAGAGGAAAAGTAAGTGAGAGGGGACTTGAACAACGAAAGGAAGAGGGTTCATGCGTACCTTGGAGAAACAGCACCACGAAAAAGATCGGGGGCAGACAACCCGCCCCAGGTAAGAGAGAGTTTCGGACGCCTTTCGTGAGCCCGCTTCGAAAGAGATTTACAACATTCAACGAAATAGCCTGAGTATCAACCATTGAAGTACTTACACGTCCGATTCAAAAGAAAAAGCCGAATAGAGTGGGGTGGTTTGTATACTGTCTGAGTGTATGCGTTCTTTCCATGACCAGGGAGACTGGAAACACGCGCCCGTCTTGTCAACCGAAGCCATGAAGGGCAAAAAAAGCATTGAGAAAACGAAGCAGCAGCGCCACCCAAAAAAGGAAATGATCATGGAAATTTATTTCCGTTCTGGCCGTCATCTGTGTGCCTGACTCTCATCTCCACTCACACACTCCTTTTTTCGTTGGAACAAGACAAGTCGCGCATGCAACGTCGACATAACCAACCCTACATCTCTCCCCCATCCCACAATTCACCCACAATGGGTTCCCTGTCCCCTTCCTCTCCTTCCTCATCCTCCTCCTCCAGCTCACGAAGAGCAACACGTATCTGGCTTCCAGTCTTAACCATCCTCCTCCTCCTAACCCTCATCCACTTCCTCCTTCCCCCCTCACACTCCACCGGATCCATCCATCAACCCAATTACAGCAATGCGGATTTAAAAGCGAAGAATTACCTGAATTTGAGCGAACCCGTCATCCCTAACCCATTCGACTTTTGTCCGAGTTATAGTCCTGGCGATAGGATCGGCGCAAAGTATGGCGCTGTTACGCTTTCGAAGAGTAGGATGCATTTGGGCAGTGGGGCGAGGATTCAGAGGGTTTTGAATAAGGCGCTGGCGGGGCAGAGTGTTACGATTTCTGTTTTGGGCGGTTCAGGTATCTATCCCTTCTTCCCTTTTCCCTTCCCCTTCCTATTCATCTTTGCACACCCGCAAACTCACCTACCCCGCAGTGTCAGCATGCCACGGCGCAGGGGACGACCCTATATCCCCCACATGCTACCCATCCCGCTTCTTCCAGTGGTGGAACACAGTTTTTCCACACCCAGCTACGGAACTGACAAACGGCGCTTTGAGACGCACGAATTCGGGATACTTTGGGTATTGTAACTCGCACCATCTACCAGATCAGACGGATTTGGTTATTATTGAGCTGGATACGGAGGATGAACCGTGCGTTTTCTTTTCGTTTCTCTTTCATACCACCCGTTTTTCTTTTCTTTTCTTTCGTTTCTTGTCTGTTTCTGTCGTACCTCCCTTTTCTTTTTGCTTCTGTTCGTCCGCCTTGCGCCCACCCTAACATGCCGCCTTATCGTCACCCCCGCCCATAAGACGGACTTTTCCCACACCATGCAAGGGTAGCCGCCCACGAGGCCATTCTATCTTGCTCATTTGTTCAGTTATCTTCTACCGAGTTTCGCCTTACCCATTCCATTATACTCCATATTCCATTTCCCAGAAACAACCAGCGTTTTGGAGGTTGATTTCCCCACTTTCAACTCCATTACCACGCTTCCGCCTATAACAACTTTCCTTCGTGTCGGTTGGGTGGAGTTTTGTCTTTCTTTGAGCCGCGATGAGCTGTTGTGTGCTTTCTTATTTGTGCAGCTCACTTCCCCCCTTCTTGTCGCGTTTCCATGCACTTCGGCGACTTTGCTGTGGTCTTCCTCTTCATAACCTCTGCGTATCCCCTCGCCTTAGCGACGTTTTGGCATGCAGCCTGTGCATGTTTCTTTCTTTTCTTTCTTTTTACGTTGTGGTTGAAAGCTCTGGAAGGAGGGTCCTTCCTTTTCGTTTCTTTTTTGTCGTTTCTTTGAGTGCGACGAGCCGTTGTGACCTACCTTTTGCTCTTTTTCGGGAACCCATGGCGCGGAATCCCTTCTTCTCTTCTTGTCGCGTTTTCTCCGATTTCGGTGACTTTGGTTTGGTCGTCCTGTTGATAACCCCCGGGTGTTTTGGCAGGCAGCCTGTGCACGTTTCTTTCTTTCTTTCTTTCCCTTTTCTTGCGTTTGGACTTTGCCTTCATTTCCTATATCTTTCTTGTCTGGCATTACTTTCAGCGACTTCTATCCTTTTCCTGAAAGTTGGGGTCTCCCTTCTGTCATCCATATGTGACCGTTGTTTTTTGCTTTTTTATTGTATTGGGTTTGTCTTCTGCGTTCTTATCATGCCCCGCATCTTATTGGGAGCACTCTCGCCTTTGACTCCTTTGGCTTGTACTGGATGTTGGGGCTCTTATATGGTCGTCCTAGTGACTGCCCCTCCTCTATGTTTCTCTTCTCTTCCTTGTTTTCATGTGTCTTTCTCCGATTTCGGTGACTTTGGTTTGATAACCTCGGATGTCCCCTCACCCACCCAGCCTGTCCATGTTTCGTTCTTTCTTTGTGGATGGTGGTTGAAAGCTCCGGAGCGTCCTTCCTTTTCGTTTCTCTTATCTATCGTGACCAAGGACTTTTGTCAGGCCTTACCTTCCTCCCCGCTTGCCATTTCTATCCTTTTTTTGAAAGTCGGGGGTCTTTCTTCTGTCATACAAATGTGACCGCTTTTTTGCTTCTTTTATATTGGTCCAATTGAATGCTTTGCGTTCGTCTTTTGCGTCCTATCATCTCCGCTATATATCTTGGAAGCAGTCCCAAGTTTGACTCTTTTGGTCTTTTTCTGCATGTTGGTCGTCCTAATGACCGCCCCTCCTTTGTCTTTCCGCCTCGTCCCCACCTTCTTCATCCTTCAAGTTCTCCCAGTTCAAATTCCCCTTTCACATTCATTCCTCTTCCTCTTTCCCCCCTTCTCTTTCTAGCATCGAGACTAATTCATCCCACAGGAACCAAGACATGATGGATCACTTTGAGATCCTCATCCGCTCCATCCTCATCAGGCCCGACAAACCCGCCGTCCTCCTCCTCGGCCATTTCTCACCACAAACACATCAAACACACGGTTTCGCAGGGCCAGACCACTGGCACAACATCGTCGCGCAATTCTACGACGTCCCACACGTCTCTGTCAAATCTGCCCTCTTCCCCGATTACATGCGTGACCCCAAGTCTGTCCAGAAGTACTTTGTCGATCCCGTACTCGCTAGCCCTGCGGGGCATGAACTCATCTCGGAGATACTCGTGGCGTACTTCCAGAGCCAGATATGTACGGCGTGGAGCGTGGCTACTGGGTCGTCGTACGAAGCTGTCCCAGTGCACACCGCAGGGTCTGAAGGAGGCGCTGGTGATGCACATGGGCTATTCGGGGGCATCGGTCAGCGCCCTGGAGTCCCTGAGCCAGAAAAGGGTGATCTAGCCGTTGACGCAGCTGTGGAAAAGAAGATGGCAGCTGCTGCTGCTGCAGCAGCTATGAAAGACCGAGGGGACTCGTCTTCCTCCTCCTCCTCCTCTTCCGCTCAGCTCCTCACTGTCCCTTCTGGCCGAATCAACACCCGACCAAACGGGAACCGTCCCTTCGAAGAGATCGCACCGTTCTGCGTCTCCGCAAACGACCTCATCAACCCCCTACCACCGTCGCTGTTCTACGGCTCGGGGTGGTATGCTCACCATCCGAGTGGGAGTGGTGGGGATGCGCTGATTACGGCTGCGCATTATTGGCATTCGGCGCTTCCGACGAGCAAGTTGAGGATACCGATGCAGGTTGGTGGCGGGGATATTGGGGTGTATTATTTGAGGGAGCCGGTGGGTGTTGTTGGGGAGGGGAGTTCGGTTGAGTGTTGGGTTGATGATAATTATGCGGGTGCGAAGGTTATTGAGAATGCGGCGGATATTGGGGATGCTATACCTACGTATGTCCTTTTTCTTTTTTTTCTTTTCCTTCTTTTCTTTTTCTTCGCACCCATGCACAAGCTGATGATGATTGATTGGTGTAGGTTGAATATGATCGACCATTATGTTGGAAGAGGTTCTCATTTCGTGGAATGTCAGTTGTTGGGTGAGGAAGGACAGAGTGTGCCGATGTTCAAGATCATTGGGATTTTCGCGACGTAAACCTTTGTCACTTACTGAAGGACTGAGTAACGTACGGATGTTCCCTGGTTTTTAGGATGTAGAATATGATTTTGTGTAGTGTGTATTCGAAATGCACACGGTATGACTAATTTCGATTTCGCCTTGGACGACGACGACCACAACTACTTACAATCCGCCCCAGTGCTACGCTTTCAAGATTGCGGAGTTATGTGAACTGGAGAACTTCCAGACTATTTACCATGTCAACTCTCGGTGCGCACCACAACTCAGTCAAAACAGCCCCGGTATTAATCCAGGCACCCCTTGCTTCAGATCACGAAATGACAGACGCCCTGACACTGCTCCGCCGTGTCTTCCCTTGTCCTCATCTCTCGCGCTCATAATCATGGCCGACCAAATCTCGCCCACTGCAAAGAAATCGAAGAAGAAATCCAGAGGGATAGGAAAACTCTTTCGAGATCTGATCAAGCGACCCAATTCTGCCAACCACTCGGCTTACCAGTCGAATTCCACTGTCTCCTCTGCATCAGGCGCTCACCATGCAACCGATGCAGGAAATGCAGAGCCGACGGCTTCAAGTAAGTATACTATTGGCTCTATCTTATAGTGTTATCGACGGTGACTTAACTGGTGTCCAGGCAGCAATGCTACCTTGAATATCAGTATGTACTGTCCTGGACTCCTACCTCGCAGACCTGGCCGATTCAGCTCATCCTCCAGGTCCTACCGCCCCCTCCCAGTGGGCAAGACCTTCGTCAAGTGTTCCAGATCTGCAGGAGTCCGCCGTGGGTCAAGGTGAGATGCGATTTGCCGAGTCTTTGTGTCTGAGAGGTTGATATCGGACTCGTGCAGAAGAGGACAACCGCGAAGCCAGTCTTACTTTGACTCCTGTTGCAGTACCAGTCTCGCCGAACACTCAACCTCAGACCTCGGACTGGATGGCGACTGCAAAAGAGGGTGTCAAAGTGGCTGGGCGGTTCACGGAAACGCTCCTCAAGAAGGTGCCGGGATGTGTCAGTGCAAATCCGGTCCAGATGGCATTCTCCATCGCTAAAGTGATCATCGAAATAAAAGATGTAGGTTGTCGTCTCTTATTTATCTTTTGGGCGCTGGTTGACTATTATATCAGGCGGTTGGAAGCAACAAGGACGGGCTTGTACAACTTCTCGAAAGAACGGCAAACAGACTCCTGACTGTGGAGAGCAAGGAAGTTAGCGGTAAGGCCGCCGAGGAGGCGATGGAGAATTTCAAAAAGTACGTCGTCTTCCGTGCACCAATAGGATACCATAACGAACATGTCACCATCCAGGGTCATTGGGGAAGAAATGCAGAAGTTGAAGGCTCTGGCCGATGAATCAACCCTTATAAAGGTAGCAGACTACGAAGCGTATGGGACGAAGATCCAACAAATTTTTCAACGAGTCGAAGAGGCGACGACATCCTGGTCTGTGCGTACCATACATTCTATAAGGTTCTGTATATTCACATTCGTCGTTCCCAGCTCGAAATGACGATCAGCATCCAGCAAACGGCGAGCCAAATACAAGATGGTACCAAGGTAAGTATCTAAGTTCCCTGGTCTGTAATCTGCGCTGATTAATTGTACAGAGAGAGTCCCTGCAGCGTTTGAATCCCTCCGAGAAGGCTGACCACAGAACCGTCTTTAAAGGACATGGCCTGAAGCGTGAAGCGTGCACGGACGGAACGCGTGTCAAGATATTGAAGGACATCACCAAATGGGCTAACGATTGCTCATCGACCAGCCCGCGTGTCTTCTGGCTGACCGGTCAAGCTGGGTCCGGCAAAACCACCATTGCGTATACCGTAGCCAAACTGTTCGAGAAAGACGCCGATTCCAACCAACATACCGTCTTGGGCGGCAACTTTCTCTGCTCCCGGCAATTCGAAGAAACGCGAGCCCAGACCCGTATCCTTCCCACCATCGCCTACCAGTTTGCTCGGAAATGCAAATCGTATGCAGACGCCTTGCATGTTGCCGACAAATTCGACTCTGTTAAATTCGATGTTGCCACCCAGCTGTCGGATCTTCTTGTCCGGCCTTGGCAGCAGTCCGAAAGCACACGGGGTGTAGGACCGCCGCTATACCTCATCGTCATCGATGCTCTTGATGAGATCGAGGGTGAAGGAGGATCGGCTTTTCTAGGTGACCTACTCCACGCAATCGACAAATACGATCTAAGAGGTCTCAAGTTTCTTGTGACGAGCCGGTCAGATCCTGAACTCGTTGAGCGCTGCAAAGCATTCACGTCCGAGGCCGTCTGTCGTCTCCAAGATGTGCCAATCGAGGAGGCCAAGTCAGACATCAGGGTATACTTGAAAGACAAGCTGAAGAACCTTGACGGCACTCCAGAGCTGACCGAGCTTGAGGAGCGGGCTGATGGTCTCTTCATCTACGCTGCAACTGCGGTGAAGTACTTGACCCCAAAATGCAATATCAGTGTTTCTGAGCGGACAAAAAGGCTTAAAGACCTCCTTTCCAATTCAGTTTCTGTGAGGGGCGCTACAGAGGCCTTGATTGATGAAATGTACCATCGAATTATGTTCGACACCTTTTCGCCGCTCAAGGGAGAGATCTTGATCGGCAGGTTGCACATCCTTTATACCTTCCTATGTACGGCTGAACGCACATCCACCTCCACTGTTGCTGCGCTCGTCGCGGACAGCGACAATGAAGCTGCAAGGGCTGTTCTGGATGATCTCCACGCTGTGCTTTATTCCCAAGACGATCGAGTTTTTTGGTACCATGCCTCCTTTCCTGACTTCATTTTTGATCCAGCACGGTCAAACTTCCACTTCGGCGACGGCAACTTGAAGGAGTACTTTGCATTTTCATGCAACGAACCTGCCCATCACAGTCTTCTTGGCGAATCTTGCTTCCACATCATGGAGTCTGGTTCTGATAAGAAGCCTGATTCTGGTTTGCGATTCAACATGGGCAAAATACCGTCATCCTTCCTGTTCGACAGTGATAACGCCGCGCTCGCTGAAGAGGTTAACAAAAACATCAGTGCCGCTCTGAGGTACTCAGTTCGGCACTGGACTCACCACTTGCCTTTACCCCAGTTGATCAAGACCGATAACCTTTGTGGCCTCATTTCGGATTTCCTCCAAATTCGTATCCTGTTCTGGATTGAGGCCATGAACCTGCTTGGACTACAAAATCAGTGCACGCCGATGCTTCAACGTGCACGTGAGTGGGCCTTGAAGGTATGGATCGTAAGGTTTGAGCCGTATGGCAACAACTAATGCTGTCAATCAGTGCGGGAACGATTATTCAGAATTGGCGCGTGACATTGGTATAGCTGCCAATTTTGCAACTTATTTCACTGGGAGCCCGGCTGCCAAATCGACGCCGCACCTGTACATCTCGGCGTTGGCAACATGGTCACAGGACACCAGTCTCTGTCGGAACTGGAAAAGCCAATTCAGGTGCATCCCTGCCTTTACACATACCAAAGGTGGTGTTGATTTGCCATTGATGACAGTATCAGCTGGGGCACAAATTGAATCAGTCGCGATTTCGAGCGATGGGACACGGATTGTGTCTGGCTCGTGTGACGAGTTTGTGCGGGTGTGGGATGCGTCGACAGGTGCGGAGCTGAAGGAGTTGAAGGGCCACACTGACTTGGTCAATTCAGTCGCATTTTCGAGCGATGGGACATGGATTGTGTCTGGCTCGCGTGACAAGTCTGTGCGGGTGTGGGATGCGTCAACCGGTGTGGAGGTGAAGGAGCTGAAGGGCCACACTGACTGGGTCAATTCGGTCGCATTTTCGAGCGATGGGACATGGATTGTGTCTGGCTCGCGATGACAAGTCTGTGCGGGTGTGGGATGCGTCAACAGGTGTGGAGGTGAAGGAGCTGAAGGGCCACACCAGCATGGGTCAGATTCGGTCGCATTTTCGAGCGATGGGACACAGATTGTGTCTGGCTCGGCTGACAAGTCTGTGCGGGTGTGGGATGCATGGACAGGTGTGGAGCTGAAGGAGCTGAATGGCCACACCAGCATGGTCAGATCGGTCGCATTTTCGAGTGATGGGACACGGATTGTGTCTGGCTCGGATGACAAGTCTGTGCGAGTGTGGGATGCATGGACAGGTGTGGAGCTGAAGGAGCTGAAGGGCCACACTGCGTGGGTCGATTCGGTCGCATTTTCGAGCGATGGGACACAGATTGTGTCTGGCTCGGCTGACAAGTCTGTGCGGGTGTGGGATGCATGGACAGGTGTGGAGCTGAAGGAGCTGAATGGCCACACCAGCATGGTCAGATCGGTCGCATTTTCGAGTGATGGGACACGGATTGTGTCTGGCTCGGATGACAAGTCTGTGCGAGTGTGGGATGCATGGACAGGTGTGGAGCTGAAGGAGCTGAATGGCCACACGACTGGGTCAGATTCGGTCGCATTTTCGAGTGATGGGACACGGATTGTGTCTGGCTCGGATGACAAGTCTGTGCGGGTGTGGGATGCATGGACAGGTGTGGAGCTGAAGGAGCTGAATGGCCACACTGAGTGGGTCCATTCGGTCGCATTTTCGAGCGATGGGACACAGATTGTGTCTGGCTCGGCTGACAAGTCTGTGCGGGTGTGGGATGCATGGACAGGTGTGGAGCTGAAGGAGCTGAATGGCCACACTGACTGGGTCAGATCGGTCGCATTTTCGAGTGATGGGACACGGATTGTGTCTGGCTCGGATGACAAGTCTGTGCGTGTGTGGGATGCATGGACAGGTGTGGAGCTGAAGGAGCTGAATGGCCACACTGATGGGTCAATTCGGTTGCATTTTCGAGTGATGGGTCACGGATTGTGTCTGGCTCCCATGACAAGTCTGTACGGGTGTGGGATGCATCGACAGGTGTGGAGCTGAAGAAATTGAATGGCCACACGTGGGTGTCTTCGGTCGCGATTTCGAGCGATGGGACACAGATTGTGTCTGGCTCGGATGATGGGTCTGTGCGGGTGTGGGATGCATTGACTGGTGTGGAGCTGAAGGAGCTGAA